CGGGGCCGGCGGCGCTGCGCTGCGCCCCGATAGGCGGCGGCGGGCGGTGCCGGTGCTGCCGCCGCTGCCGCGGCTGCTGGTGCTGGCGCGGAGCCGCTGAAGCCCGGCAGAGGGGCTCGCCGGCTCTCGCACGCAGAGGCGGCGGCGGAGCGCGTCGCGTCGAGCGGAGCGAGCGGGGAGGAGGAGGAGGAGAAGGCGGAGGAGGAGGAGGAGGAAGGGGAGGGGGGCACCTTCTCGGAGAGGATGCCCGGAGCGGCTGCAGGGACGGCGGCTACAGGAGCAGGCTCGTCAGGAGCAGTAGCAGCGGGGATGCTCCCAGCTCAGGAGGCAGCCAAGATCTACCACACCAACTACGTGCGGAACTCGCGGGCCATCGGCGTGCTCTGGGCCATCTTCACCATCTGCTTTGCCATCGTCAACGTGGTGTGCTTCATCCAGCCGTACTGGATCGGGGACGGCGTGGATACCCCGCAGGCGGGCTACTTCGGGCTCTTCCACTACTGCATCGGCAACGGCTTCAGCCGGGAACTCACCTGCCGGGGCAGCTTCACGGACTTCTCCAGCCTGCCCTCGGGAGCCTTCAAAGCTGCGTCCTTCTTCATCGGGCTCTCGATGATGCTCATCATCGCCTGCATCGTCTGCTTCATCCTCTTCTTCTTCTGCAACACAGCCACCGTCTACAAGATCTGTGCCTGGATGCAGCTGACCTCGGGTGAGTGGAGACAGCGGCCCCGGTGCTGGGGGCTCCGCGCCGCCCTGTCCGGCACAGCCCGGCCCGGCCCGGGGGCACGGGAGGCTCTGGACAAACTTGCGGCGCCGGCGGCCGCCCGGGGCGGGGAGCGGCGGGGGCGGGTGCCGAGGACCGGGGGTCCCCGCCGGGGCAGGCCGGGAGAGGATGCTCGGGAGTGCCGCGACACATCGGCAGCGTCGCAGAGCGGTGCCCGTGCCTGCCCCGGGCAGCCCCGCCGCCCGACTGGGCGTGGGCCAAGTCAGGCTCAGCCCGCAGCTCTCCGAGGGCTGCCCGGGGATGCTGCCCGGTGTCCGTGCGGGAAGCGACCCGTGGGCAGCTCCAGCAGCTCCAGGGACAGCGGGCGGCAGCGGGTGGGTGTCCTCCAGCGCCTGGTCTGTTGTAAAGGTCAGGAGAAAATGGCAGTGGGGACAATTCGAGCTGGCCACGGTGGGCGAAGGCAGCTGCCCGCCTGTTGAAGCTTAGTCCCGGTCCCACAGTTCCACCTGGCCAAGGCAGAGCCCACTTCATCCCGTGAGAGGGGTTGGCGGTGTCTTTTGCTGGTGAACTGGAAGGGCAGGTGAGGTCGTTGGATGTGGCATGCATGAGTTTTGGTTGGGGTCTGTTTCACTTTTCCACAAGGTTTATTTTCCTAACTATATGTTAGGAGTGTAAAGAAAAATAATTAATTTCAGTTGCTGATTTTCTTTCGAAGATCTCCTGGCTTCATTTGACTTTCCCCATCACATTCAGTGTCTCCCTGGGGAAAGTGTGGTAGGAAAGAGGGAAAACACCAGGACATCCCTTTCTGCATTTCCAGCACAGCTTTCCCTCTGAGTTAGTGGAGAACTGGTTATTTGTGTGCAGCTGGGAGGGTCTGTAGAATTAAGACAGTAATACATACAAGCAGTTTTAGAAAGACAGAAAATACTAATTCTTCAATCATTTGAGGGGGAAAAGGGGCTAAAATCAAAGTGTACCTGTTACATGTCCTCCTGGTAAAGTCCTGAAACTGACGTTTTGGAATAAGCAGGAAGAAGCTGTTAGGGAAACAGAGCAAAATGTCACCAAAATGGGCTCACAATCACTTTTTTAGTCCCCTTAATTGACCTACATTCGTTTCAGTTTCTGAGCAAAAATTCTTTTGAATGTTCTATTGAACATCTTCAGTATTATTTAATCTGCCATCTAGTCCATAACACTTGGTGGAATTCTCTGGTTTGTATGAAACAGCTCTAACCATTTCTCTCTCTGATGATGTTTTTCTGTGTGCTATTATACATTTTTATGCTGTTTCCTTCACTGAAGTTTCCTTGTAATTTCTTTCTGTATCACTTGGGGAGTGATCTGCAGTCACTTGAGGCTGGTAGGTTTTTTCCCAGTTCCAGTGAGTTTAGTTTTGTGTTCATTATCTCTGTACTGGAACCCCCTTTGATGCTCGTGGCTCCTCTGTCCGCTCAGTAACATGCATTCTGATGTGGTCTGATTAATTGTACACAGTCATGTCACTTGGCTCTGGGCAGAGAAAACTCTTTCATCTTTTCACAACTGATGTCTCCTCTGCTCTATTAAGGACTTCTGTTTTCAGCTGTCTCCTCTTCTTATGGCTCTACTGCTAAAAGATGTCATGAATATTCACTGTTTTGATGCATTTCAGCATGTTTTTTTCATGTCCAGTATGCAGGAGGTCAGAACAATTTCCAAATCCCTTGCACTTTCATCAACAGCATCAACAGCATCAACACCTAGGTTTGCACTACTTCATGCCCAGAGGCACTAGTGAAAGGCAGATGAAATGAATCTGATTCCTTTACTGTGTTTCTGTACAGGTGAACAATAATGTTAAGAAACCACCATTATGTGACTGATCCACTGGACTCCAGTCTGTAGCACACTGCACGTGTGCAGGTGTGACTGGAGATATGTTTTCAGGCAAAGCAACACAGGATTTTTGTCATCTCCAAAGCTGGGAGATGCACTGCTGCCATTAAAAGCCAACAAAAGGAGCTTTATGTCAGGAGAAGAATCACTTCTCAGACTGCTTCCCTCCAAAATTAATAAGGGAATACATGCATAGCCAAGTGGTTGTTTGCTGTCTTTCCCAATTTGTACAAGAACACCCTGGAAGAACTAGAACAATATTGGGTGTTGAAAGAATCTGACATTATTGTTTGCTGAACGTTTTACCTAAATTCAGTATTTACCTCACTGTTCATTTCTGTATTACTTAAAAAGTTCCCTCAAAAACTACCAGAAAGTCCATATTGCTTTGGGTTGCATCCTTTGAAGAAAACAAAGGTGGTGGGACAGAAGGAAAACTTAGAGTAAAATGTGTAGGACAGGAGTGTTATAATGACGTTTTCTCTGAGCTATATGACCTACTTCTGTTATTAGTTTACTGTTTGGAGTGTATAAGTAATAGATAATACTAATCCTAAAATGCTTTCCTCACAAAAAAGAATATAGCAATGTAATTTACATATGCATATAGTTCTGTGTAGTAGAGGAACAAGACTGAAGCTGAAGTAGTGAAATAAAGAAGCATGTGAATATAGCTTTGATTTTTGCTTGCTATTATGTATTTTCATAGTATTATCATTTGGTTAGGTAATATAACACTTAAAATTGATGTAATTTAAATCTTGCTAGAATCAGGTTTCTGACGTGGGATCATGCTTGGTTTAGGATTGCAAATGAAAGCTTAGGAACTGATTTCTTTAGAAGAAAGATTTGGATCACAGTCTGTCCTGCATGAGTCATTTAAATTGTCAGCATGATATAGCTCTTGTTTTGAAAAGGTGTTTATTAAGTAAGAAAAAGATAAACAGTATCTTGGCCACATACACTTTCAGTCCTTGTTGCTGCCTAATCATGTCTATGACTAGACAGGTCTATGACATGATAAAGAAGAAAAATCCTAAGAAAAAATGTATTTCCTATGTCCATGTGACTACTGCGTAGATTCAATGGTCCAGTGATTTAGCCATGGCTTAGACTGCCTTTTTTGTTGCAAGTGCAAAATGCTCTCGGGGTACACTTGATACTTTGAGAGCCAGTGTTGGCAGCCTCATTCTCCATCCCCATACCTCCTCTTCTGCAATTGCAAAATCACAGGTACAAGCAGTATGCACTCGCCTAATTTGAGCAGATGCATGATTGCAAACTCTTGAAATCATTAGGAATTAGGTATTACTGTGCTTTGTTATCCTACACCTAATGTTTACAGGAAACCTCACAAATAAAGATAACTCTTGAGATATACTCCTTTATAGATTAAATAAATCAAACACTTCTGTTCTATCATTGTGATTTTTGTCACTATATTTGTCATTACTTTTTTTCCTTTACTAGGGTGTTTCAAGTTATTAGAAAGAAAAAACTAAGGAAAGCAGAAGAAAAGCATAGAAGTGTCCCATGGACAAGCAGGTTGAAACCAATATATAGGTTTTTCAAGGGATGCCAAAGCCCATGCCCATAGTAAGAGGACCATTGAACAAAACATAAAAACTCTGTACTTTGGCAAACCACAGTCCTGTGATCTTAGACAGTGGTCTGTAACATGGGCCCACAACAGCATCAGAGCAGCTAAAACTCATTTTCCCCTCCATATTTTTTGTTCTCCAGTACTCATACTCAGGGATTTCCTCAAATGTATCTTGGCATTTAAAAGCTCTTGCTGGATTTTGTTTTTTGACACTTTGGTCACATTTTGAACCTGTGTAAACTTTTAGCATTTACAGTGCCCCAGAGCAAGGAGTTCCACAGCATGATATGTGTTGTGTGAAGATTCAATGGTTTTTGTGTTTTAAATCTTGTGCCTGGCCATTTCATTTGATCCTCTCAGCTCATGCATGGGAAGAGGCTGGGAACAGGGAACTTGGAGACATATTCCCTGTCCTGGCTCTTATTACACCTTTGCTGTATCCCCTGTTTCCTGGTTTTGAGACTTTTGGCTCCTAAATCAGTCCTTAGTTATCAGGTTGTAGCAAACTTCTGATCATCCCAGCTGCCCTTTCTATAGCCATTTCCAGTCTACTCTATCTGTTCAGAGTCTGTGGGACCAGACCTACACACAATATTCAAGACAGACAAACCAGCCATTCATACAGTGACTAAATAATATTCTCTATTTCATTCTTTGTTCTTTTCCTAGTAATTAGTAATACTCATTTTTCCCTGTTAGCGAACAGTGAGCTGATGTTTTCACACAACTACCTATTATAACCCCAAGATCTCAGTCCTGAAGTGGTAATAATCACCTTGGGGCACATAATTTTGTGTAGTTATTTTTCCCCCTTAAAGAAATTACTTCATATTTATCTACACTGACTTTAATTTGACTTTTTATTGCCTAGTCACTCAGTGTTGTAAAGTCTTCCTTCACAGTCAACCCTTATCGTAGCTACCCTGAGTGAGTATCAGCAGCTAACTTTGTCACCTCACCATTTATCCTGTTTTCCAGCTCATTTATAAATAAATGAGTAGCTCCCAAGTTCCAGCACAGATCCCTGCAGGATTCCACCATTGACCTCTCTCCACTTGAAAAATTGACAGTAGTGTCCTACCATCTGTTTCCAATTATTTATCCTTGCAAGGGCATTTATTTTTATCCTATGGGAGTCTAGGATTTTTAAGACTTATGAATGATAGATTCATCAATTGTCTTTTGGAAATCCAAGTAAACATTCTAAATTAAAACCATGGTACACATTAATTTTTACTTCTTTGGAGAAGTCTAGTAGTTTTGTGAAAAATTACTTAAAATAGGTGTATCGGTCCTACCTTACTTCCTTTCATCACACAAATATGTCATGTTTGTACATTTGCTGACATACATTAGGTTTTTTTGTAGTTGTACTGATTTGTGTCGTACGGATGTTGGTCTTTCTGTGGTTCCCCAGGTTTTCCCTGGATTTGTTTTAAGCAGATTTTTAAAAGTGGTTTCCTATCACTCAACTGCCAGATCTTTGAGGCCAAAGCAGCCA